AGAACTCAGAAACCCCAAATCCATACTGCTAAGAATGTGTAGTGTATGAAACCCTAAATAAATTACCTATTGCTCCATGTACAACTTCCAAGAATGCACAAGTTTGCAACAAACCTTCAAAGAGAAAAAAGGGATAGAAAATTCAAATCAAACTATAAAACCATGTTCACCCATACTAATGAATCTCCAAGTCAGAGGGAAAAAAAGCAAGAATCTAAATATATGATAAAACCCTTCATATTACCTACCATAATAGAAAATTGAAGTTCATTTCCCATCATTTTACAAGGAAAAAAGTGGGTTTTAAAATTAAATGAAGGAAGAACTGACAGATTAAGTCTCCAGCACAATCATAAGCGCCATTGACGGAGTTGATGGCTATGAAACTGGTCAAAATTCTGAACAGAGAAATTGTCCTGCAAATAAAACAACAAGAGCAGATGATGTAATGAATTAAGTTGGAAATGATGAAAGGAAATCAAAGAAAGAGAGGAATTTGAAATTACCAGCCAAAAGCTTGGATAGAGTTGTAAGTAAAGAGAGAGAGCTTAAGCAGCTGAGCCATTGTGAACAACGTGGACGTTCTATGCAGTTTCAGTTATTCTCTGGGTTGGAATTTTTAGTTTATAGTTCCAATTATATTTTATTTCCCTCTTTGTCCTTTTTCTGTCGAGTGGGTTTTTAAATCTACTTCCGCAAATCAGAGTCTAAAAAGGGAAAACATTTAATAGAAGGGACATTAATTATTATTGAAAAAGTTATGCAACTAAGTTGGACAATACCAAATCACGACACAAAGAAAAAACGACATACAATGTAAATTATGTAATCTATAATTTCTTTTTTATAAATTGGTCAAATTTTAATACGAGTCTTTAAATTTATTTGAATAAATTATAAATTTCATCCTTCAATTTTATCTTCATTATTCTTTTGATCATTAGAGTTAATTTTTTTAGTTTAGACATTAAATATTTTTACTCCACCGATAAATAATTGATAATATAATGATATAATAAACGACATTAAAATAATTTTAATGTTATTTATTAATATTTATTTATTTATTAAACTTCTGATGAGATCACGATGATATTTTTTTCAAGCTCTTTCAGGTAAATGAGAGTTCCGTCAAACCTGTAGGAAATTAAATCTCTAATGTAATGGCATGAGTAAAAATTCACTATGATCATATATGATTCGAAAGGTTGTTTTTGGTATATCTATCTCTTTACCTTAAATTGATAATATTCTAATCTCAAATCGACGTTTAAATATATATTAACATCTTTAACTAATTAAAGAGTGTTAAAGTCAAAATTGGTGGGTTAAAGTCAAAATTGGTAACAACTAAATTTGACAAATTTAAGCTGCAATTCGGTGGCTTTCTGTGCACACCGATTTTGTTGATTTTTTTGCAATGATATAATTACACTATAATCCCTGTACTTTAGGGTATTTTCAAAAATTAGTCTTTAAGCTTCAACTATAAATACTCTTACCCATTTAGCTTCAAAATCATTCCAAATCATTTCTTTCTCCCAATACTAAAGAGTTTAGAGAGTTTTCTTGTGAGTTGTGAGTGTTTTGTAAACACCTATAAATTTTTTTCTCTTTAGTAAAAGATCTGCAGCAGTTTGAGGACATAGACATAATTGGCCGAACTCCGTTATCAATTTTGGGTATTATTTTTCCGCTTTTATTTTGCATTCTCACTAATCTGGTTGTAGGGAAATTACTCGTTTTATTTCCCAACAACTGGCATCAGAGCTTTTGGTTGTTAATTTTGTCGGTTTTTCTACGAGGTTACTATTCCCGTGAATAATGAATTTTGTGAATAGTAAAATTTGGTCGGTGATACGAGTTTATCGACAGAGGTGTTCTAATACACGGTGGTTCGCAAGAATTATTAGAAACGATCCAAAAGAAGGCAGATTTGAGTGGGAGCGATGGCTTTGAGAAACGAAGTTTATGAGCTCAAGAGAGAGCTGCTCATATGCAAGGAAGCAATGAGTGAATGAGATGCGCACAGGACCTTCTTGGAAGGACTTAGACCAGGGGTGATGCTCTGGGGAGAGTAAGAAGATACCCAAAGACTTTCGGAGGCCATAGTTGTAGTCGGAAAGCTGATTGAGCTTGCAAGAGACAAGCCAAGTAGCGATATGTCGTCCAGGTCCTGGCCCATGCCCAGAGATAGTGGCAATACTGGGGGAGACCGGAAAAAGGTGCAGCAGGGAAATGGTAGAGAAAGCTCTTCGAATGACCAAGGTGAGCCATCAATTGTTCATAGCCAAGGAAAACCATCGGGAAAAAATGGCAAGACTAAGTCTAGTGTAAAGAAGAAGGTGAGCAAGGAAAAATTGAAGTGCTACTTCTGTGATGATCCTCATTTGATTAAAGGATGTCCCGAGAAGCGTCGTCTTACAACCATCATGAAGAGGATGGAAGAAGGAGAAGTAGCGGGAATTGGCGCGGTCGCAAGTGTTAAAGCTACCAAGCCAGGAAAAAGACTTGGCCCTATTGATGTGATCAATATGGTCAAGCAAGGATCGAGACGAGGCAAGGCTGTTGATGTTGAAGCAGTCGAACCCGGAAGAAAGCTCGAGATTACGAGTATCCAAGCAATTAAGACAGGGGAAAGACTTGGTGAGGCTACATGTTCCAAAGTAGCCGAATCAAGGAGAAAGAATGGTGCAACTACAAGTTCTCAAGTAGTCAACCCAAGATCGAAACGTGATGAGACTACGGGTGTCAAAGCAATCGAGCACAAGAAGGGACCCGATGCGATAGCAAGAGATAAAGCCATCAAGCCGAGGGTGCAAAGTGAGCAAGTCTGCTCACAGTATGCCAGGATGGAGGCGTGGTCCAAGTTGAGGCGTCTCAGGCATAAAGGGACACTTAAGGAGTATGTGAGTCGATTCAGAAAACTCATGCTCAAAGTCCCAAGTTTGACTGAAGAATATGGATTCTTCACATTTATGTTCGGATTGAAGCCATGGGCGAAGAAAGTGCTGGAGCGAAGGGAAGTCAAGGAGTTATCTAAAGCCTTGACCACCGCCGAGTCCATCAAAGAATTTGGAGTCAAGAAGAACAAGACTTCCAAAGCAAAACAGAAAGCCGAGGATAGCGTTAAGAGATTTCGTGTTGAAGGCAATTCAGAGGATGAGGAATGTTGTTCCTCGAGTGGCAGAGAAAATCCACTCAATGATGAACCAGATGGTGAATCTGGGGAAGATGTGTGCAGTCTTGGCACAAGTTCGAGTGTCAAAAATGATAAGCCGAGGGTAAGACTCGAACAAACGAGGGGGCACAGACTTAAGATGCCAGAAGTGTTGCAAAATAACTCGAGGGGAGCCGAGTCATCCAAGGTGATGGATAAGCCCAAGATTGAGTTGTCCAGAGAAGAGGACGAACTCATGATCGAAAAGGCATTGAGAGTTAGCTCAATAAGGTTCATTTCTGCCAAGGCGAGTAGAAGCCAAGTGCAAGAAGAGTTGTACGTGTCCAAGGAGTTTGCCAAGCATGTTCGTGTAGAGAACATGACTTCAGAGACCATCTTAAGAGAAGGGTTGAAGCAGGGGCTTGCCGAGTATGTTCAAGTGATGAACAATCCTTTAAAGACTAGTGGACAAGAGTCGAAGGGAGCCAAGACGTTGAAGGACAAGGCAACAACGGAGAAATTACCCAATAACAAGTGGGTTTACAGGACAGTGACTACGGACAAACTGAAGTTATGTTTCAATTGACATGCTAGAGTAACAAGACCAGAAATGCTGCTGCATTGATCAAGGTGTGAAGACAGATTAAAATCAATCTTCAAGTGGAAGATTGTTAAAGTCAAAATTGTTGGGTTAAAGTCAAAATTGGTGGCAGTTAAATTTGACAAATTTAACCTGCAATTCGGTGGCTTTCGGTGCACACCGATTTTGTTGATTTTTTTGCAATGGTATAATTACACTATAATCCATGTACTTTAGGGTATTTTTAAAAATTAGTCCTTAAGCTTCAACTATAAACACCCTTACCCATTTAGCTTCAAAATCATCCCAAATCATTTCTTTCTCCCAATACTAAAGAGTTTATAGAGTTTTCTTGTGAGTTGTGAGTGTTTTGTAAACACCTGTAAATTTTTTCTCTTTAGTAAAAGATCTGTAGCAGTCTGGAGACGTAGGCATAATTGGCCGAATTCCGTTATCAATTTCAGGTATTATTTTCTAATTTTATTTTGCATTCTCACTAATCTGGTTATAGGGAAATTACTCGTTTTATTTCCCAACAAAGAGATCATTAATATAATAAAAAAATATTTAACTTTTATTTTACTGGGCTATCGATAACGAATGCATAGTGGTAATGATCTATCCTTTTCCCTTACAAATAATAGTACAAGTGATCCCCAAAGAAACATATTAGGACGTATAAATCCTCGATCAGCTAATTTTTTTTATTTGAGTTGAGAATTAGAAACTCGAATATTCACAACATAAATATAAAAAAATACCCTATTTAACCAATTTTTGAGCTTCCAAAGTAAAATTAACATTTGTGGGCAACTCAAGCTTTACCCCATTTACATTCACTTCTTTTCTATTAACACTTCTTAATATAAATATTTTTAGATGATAATTCCATCAAATTCATATATCAAATTCATGAAATGGGAATTCCATCAAATCCATAGGAAATTGAATCAAATTTAAACTTCTTTTCAAAAGAATTACAACCTTCTTAGAATTGAAAACATACAAACTGGAACTTTGAGAAAGAAGCTGCATGAGTTTTAGTTAACTGTTTCTTCACCAAAAAGTCTGCAATCTAGTTTACAGTCTCGTAAGGTCATTCAAAATGTAAGATTCAAATACATTGAGACATATATAGACATAGGCATTTAAATAGCGATTATTTTGCAATTTCTACCATTTTCACAATTTATAAATATTGTGCAATTACATCCACAATCGCCATAACACAATTGAAACCACACTTTAAATCACTTACACTGATATGCAGCAAGATGAGATGTGAAAACCCCAGATGTTAAAGAGTTCCCCTATGGGACAAGTAATGTTACATATATGATATATATATACATATATATGAATAAATAAATGAATTCTAACTAGCTGGTTAAATACGATGTCCCGTATTCAAAGTAAGAGATTGATTGATTAAAAGGGAGGAACTTCTTACTCTCATCTTCGTCCATCTTCCACAGTGAGTCCCAGGAATAGTCGTTCTCCAATGAAGGACAAAAAATATTGCAACCTTCTAGATCAGTATAGTTTGCAGTCAAAGGTTTTATCATATTTTCTTCAGACATATCAATATCCTTCCATATGTCATCCATGGAATACCCCTTTTCGTCTTCTAATTCCATACTTTTTTCCCCTTCTGAAGCTGCCATGTTTGGTCCTCCGGTGTCGTAAAAACTTACCTCTCTGGTGCTTGACAATGGTGACAGTGACATAGCCTTTTTCTTTTCTTGAGCCTTTTTCCTCATGTGAGTTCTCCAGTAGTTCTTGATCTCGTTGTCGGTGCGCCCCGGTAATTTCCGAGCAATTCTAGACCACCTGCATATCATTATCGTACCTAGTGAATTCAAGTTCATCAAATCAAAAGAACATATGTCACACTCTTAATGATATGTCATCCTCTGATTTATCGAACCTATTTCCCCATTTGGCATGAAGTTCAAGGACAAGGCGCTCTTCTTGGGGTGTCATCTTGCCTCTTTTAAGACCAGGGTGAAGGTAATTAACCCAACGTAACCTGCAACTCTTTCCCGTTCGGTTCAAACCTACAACAAAATCATGTGGTTAAACCAGGGCTCATTCCAAAACCTACCAATCTTCCAGATAATCCTACCTATCGGTTGTCTCCCGCCACACCTTCAAACCTGAAACTTTCGCTATATAATCCCATCTTCGATCTCCGAACAAGTGCACGAAGTTGATCAGAATCATGTCCTCTTGCTCCGTCCACGGGCCCTTTCGGTGTTCGTCCTGCTCCATTTTCGTATTCGATCTTTCGCTATTTGTTTTCTGATTCTTCCTGGAATGTTGCTGTGACACCGGGGGTGTAAGCTTCTCATATTTATACTAAAAACTATACTTTGCCATTGTCAAGATTCTCTTGAATGTCGTTTTCATGGCATTATTATATGCTGCTGCTGCAATAGTTACATGTAATGCGCGCATGCTCATTTGGGATGCCAACCCTATGCATGTGATGTCAGCCACTATATGGATCCAAAATAATCATAGTGATAGGTTGATATGTTGATGTAATTTTCAAATCTTGTTGCTTCAATGTGAACTGATATATCATTCTTCATGTTAGTTAAAGTGGCAAAAACAGATTTGCAGATAAAACACTGTAAAAGGAGCTGATTGCAAAAACTACAGTTACGTGTCCGACAAGGATGTTATCTATTTTACGTTCAAGTTTTCGCTGATTTTTACTTCGAATAGTTTCGTCTGCAGCGTGTGTATGCGTAGGTAGTATTTATTTGAAAGACTCAATGAACTCTCAAAATCCCCCGCAAATATCGTGTTGGAACCTAAACTTCTAAAAATAACAACTATTCCTTTAATCATTGAAGTATTTTCATTCGTGAGCAAATATTTTGAGGGAGGGAATAGAGCAATGGAAGTGGCTGCTAGATCCACTCCCCCCATCCATTCAACGTGAGGAAATAATGTTAGTGTCCCTTACTTCAGTAAAGGCCATTGATGAAGAAAAGCTCTTGACTTCAGTAAAGGCCGTACATGTAGATAATGTTACTCTCCTAACTTAACCTGGTCAAACTTAATTTGAGTTCGAATTAATTTAAGTTTTTAATCATTTCAGTTAAATTAATTTGGTTTAAGGGTGTGAGAAATTTTTGGATTTTTTTTTCTAAAAACCAATTAAATTTGTAATGTTTTATTTTTAATTAAATTAAATCTTTAAATAAAAAAATAAATTAATATGACATTTTGATTGGAGAAAATCATCGATGACTGTCACAATATTAATATAGCTTTTTTCTTTCTTTTTTTAAAAAATAACGTACGTTTGATATATTAACCGTTACTGATATAAGCAAGTATCATATTCGAAATATAATAGAATGATTTATAACTAGAAAATAAAGACATAGGAATAGTTAAAGAATATATTAATGTAGTAGTATATCAAAATTACTGTCATAAAATCTATGTATTAACATCAAATGTGAGCAAAGCTGTTGGATGATACTGATTTTACACAATAAAATAAATCTCTGATTATAACAAATACATCTTTGGGCGGTTAAAGCTTAGTAGGACTTTGTAGAAGATAATATATGATATGCCACTTGAATTTATTTAGGTTGCAATTGATTAGAGTTATTAGATATAATGATTAAATAGTATATGCCACTTTGTAGAAGATAAAATATATTATTGTAAAAAAATAAACGGAGCTTAAATAGAAAAATATAATGATTATACTTTGAAGGGCTGCTATCTTAAAAATAATTTCGTCTTAATTAATATAATCGTGATGTAGACGTTATTCTCAAAGATTAACATAAAAATTTCGATATTCACACACACAAAGAAAGAAGATAAACCCCAATTAATATTTTTTTCTTAAAAATTGATCGAAAAACAAAATTAAAAAAATAAAACTAATTGGAAAAAAGTTATTAGATATAAAAAGAGAAAATATTTTTGTCTCTTTTTATATAAAATGAGAAAATAGGCATTATTTATTAAAGTTGATAGAGGGGTAACAGTAAAAATTACAACTTGAGAGTGATTTAATATTTGGACAAAGTACATAAATGGTTCTCGATAGAGCGTTATTTTATTGAGTCGTTTGACTTTAAAATATACAAGCAATTATAGGGTGATTTTTGTTGAGTCTTCCAACTATTAAAAGTTATAAAATGGTCACTCGACTATTCATATGTTAAAAATTGGTTCTTTTCTATTAAAACAATGACAATAGTATGAATTAAACATTAATATGCTGATTGAGATATGATAAAATTTGATCCTAGAACCGTTTGAGTTGTATTTTGTGGATTAACTCTTTGTTTACGTATGTCATCAAGCTAGTGCTTAAAATATTATTCTATCGCACCGGTGCTAGAAAGAAACTGTGGCGCCAATAGACATCATTAAAATATGATTTTATCATATCTCAATCAACAAGTTAACGTCAAACTCAGACCGTTGTCAATTTTTAACAAAAAAATGAGTTTAGAACGTATGAATAGTTGGATAACCATTTTATAACTTTTAATAGTCGATGACTCAACAAAACATCATCTTGTGTGCTTTACCCTTAATATTTCCACAACCGTAAAAAATGGAAACTCTTTAAAAATTCTGGAAATAATTGCATCATAAATGAAAACTAGAACAAGAGGCTGCAACAAACATGTATATATACAAATTTAATTCTAATTAATCAGTTGCAATAAGATTGTAGGAAGAAATGTTATATTTGAACATTTTTAATAATCTATTTTCAACCAATGTGGGATTACTCACTTTACAATATCAACAGTTTTTGCCGTAGGTCAAGTTTAGCAAAGTGACTCTCGGGGTTTAATGAGGTTGACATGCAGGAATTGCTTTCGTTTCTAGCTGATAACCTCTAGAAAATGGTTGATATGAGCCTTGAAATGGCTAGCTTTTGTATCTACCCACCAAAAATCTCTAATGTATGCAGAATTTAGGGTCTACTTTTCGTTTTCATTATGATTGACGCATTAACTGTTGGCACTTAATATGTTAAACCACCACCAAAAATACGATAAAGAAGACCAATATTTAAAGTGGGTTTTAGCATCATCTTTACTTATAGAAATCCAGCATTATATTTGTGTTGATGTTACAACTGTTGCCAGCATTCAAAAGGATATAGCACAACAATGACAAATCCCAAGGGATTGAATGGCCCCGGTGGCTCCTGAGCCCTTATAATTTAGTGGAATGAGGATAGCAAGACTTCACCTTCAAAAGGAAAACCTATTTATGATGTGGAAACCACCAAATTTATGGCCATACTACTCATTCACCATACCCCCATATATCCAATCATGAAAACCAACTTGTCATCAATTCCTGGTTCTCGGATTTGTCTGAATTTTCAGCAGACATGTTTGCCTTCCTTTGTTCTGTCTTAAGCAGCAAGTTATAGCCATGGATGCAGTAATGATCAGTCCGTCTCTAATATATCCATTAACTAAATGTGCGGGTCTAACTCATTCTGGGTCAAGTTTATCTTTAGTCATCTCAGCTCAGGTCGGGGCGGATGCACTAAGCACCTAGGAACTTTAACTATGGAGGGGATTTCCAAAGGTAATTAGGTGCGGAGGAACTTTGAAGGAGTACAACAAGGATGAATTTATTCAGACTCTAACCGTTACATATTTAAATTGTAATTCAAGTCGAAATTCATAATTCCATTCTCTAACCAAAAATATAGCACTTGACTAATAGATATATTTGGTGTGCTTTGACATCAATTCCCATGATCATGATAAAGTGATAATATTGATAATGCTAAAAGGATAACATTTTTATTCTTTCTTAAGATCAGGATGTGTTATTTTACTGTGGTTAAGTATATATAGTGTGGAAGGAGGGGCTTTTCAGTTTTGTCATTTATGGAAACAAAGGTCCCATTGTTTGGGGTGGTGGATTAAGCATTATAGAACTAGTAATTAGGCATTGATTAGTGATTACTAATTATAAGAGGAAGAAGCGATCATTTCTTGATGTTGTTTCTACATAAATGGTGATTGTAGGGACACACTGATAATTAGTCAAAGGCCAAGACTAGATTTAATCATAAACAAAATACTGGGTGCTTTCTTGGACCACTTGCCACTTTTACTAACATTTATATGAGATTATGAAAGTGCGTTTAGCAATGCATTTTCTCAATCCATAATGTATATCATTTGGTTAACCGAAATGGGACGTAGTTGCTGGAAATGAATAAGAGAGATCGACGAGGGTGATCGTTCCTTAAAATTTTCTATTGATAATTTTTTTTATTTTTAAAATTTTATAAATAAATTCATTAACATAAAATCTTAGGTTTGTACCTGATCATACGTGTAGTACACTAAATACAATGTCGAATCAATTAATTAAAAGAAACAAAAAGGAAAAAGAAAAGGGTAATGTAATTACATAGAGATAAGGGTGTTGCATCAGCTCAGGGACGGTGGAGTAGATGTATAAGATGGGATGGAAATGCGAAGAAAATGAAGGGGAACCATTACCATTGGTTTGGTATAATGTCCTCCATATGTAAAGCATATCAAGATCAGGCGCTATTCAAATTTTGTCTTTCATATCAATACTTTCAATATTTTCATCAGGATTTTAGAAGAATAAAAATCATTATAAAATGACCATTTTATCTAGTACAGGAACGTGACGTAAGCTTCGTTAGTGGCTTTTTGGTCCAACTGCAACGGCTAATATATATTTATAAACAGTGAAGGAGCAAATAAATTCCCCATGACCTCGGTAGTCCACTTATGATAGGGAAGCGGTGGCGAACGTTGCTCTTGTTGAAGAATCAAACCTAGAAAGCTCTAGACTCGATGAAGAACAAAGGAAATTAATAGAAGAAGGTGTTGGCAGCAGCTAGGATCTTTAGAGTTTCTTTTAGGTGTTGGAAACAAGGTAAGAAACAATATTAGAACAAGATAAACAAAAGATAAAGAAATTGAGAATAAAGTATGATAACCAAGAAATCAAAAGATATCCCTTATGAAGTTAAACGGTAAAGATGATGATAGATTTGTGAAAAATAGATAAATATGTGTCCTATTGAACCCTCCTAGTCGCAATAAAAAGGCAAACTCGATAATATGACTCTAATCAATCCTCCTAGTCGCGATGAAAAGGCAAATTGGAGTGTGAAGATTAATTTCTCTCACAAGAATTTGAAAGAACTCCAAGAGAAGAAGCTTCGAAGGCATAAGACAATCAACACTTGCAAAAACGAACTCTCTTTGTATTATTAATCAAGAAATTTGTCTTACAAAGTTGAATGAAGCATCCTTTATATAGGTGATGGGTTCTAAA